TTCTCTGACTTTGTTTTTAAAAGAAAAAACAAATATGGGCAGGGGACTGAACCATTCACAGTAAAAACAATGTTCAACTTGCCCAAACTATTTCCATTTATACTTTGTATTTTCCTTTTTCTCTTCTTAATGATATGACTTAACGCTGGACCATTCACAGTAGAAACAATGCCCAGCTGCCAGTTCACATGCAAATATATATAAAATACTTTCCTTTATATTTAGTTTAAATTATGTGCGTGGTTTTCAGGCTAAACCATTCACCATGGAAACAATGCTTAGCCTTAGACCAAAAATCCTCCCTCAAAATAAACAAGAATTTAAACCCCTTCAATCAGACAACCCTCAGAGTTAAATAAGGTAGCCAAGCCATTCACAGTAGAAACAATGCCTGGTTCCCCAGAAAACAATCAAATAAATACAGCGAACAGGCTATTCATAGTAGAAACAATGCCTGGTCCTTCAGAAAACATCCAAATAAACATAGCCCTGAGCCATTCACAGTAGAAACAATGCTCAGGCTTTGGTTGACCCGGTCAAACGCATGCAGTCTACCTTCCTTCCACCTTCCCCCAATTCATCCTTAGTCTGCTTTCAATCAGAACAAAATAGAAACTTAGGCTTCATTCTCACACATTCTTTCCAGTTAGTTTGATTAGGTCCTGAAGAGAAAACAAAAATCATAGGGACAAACGCATGCATACAACAATCATACTGCAGGGAGATAGGCAAACATGGGTAGTAGTGGGGTTTATACAGATAAAGATGATTTACCTGAAGGTTCCCTGCCTCCAGAACTCCTCCTGAGTTCCGGCAGAGCTCCCGCAATCGGTGGGTGGACTCTCCACAGAGTCTTGACGCGGACCTACGGGTTGCGATCCCGCCTGCCGCCTTCCTCTCGTAACCAAGGACTAGAYTTAGATTAAGAAGGGCAGAAAAAAAAAGATGTGAGTCTCTCAGATCCAAGAATGGTGCGCTCAGACTCGCAGGAGAGGGCCTTGGTATCTTATCACGCCTGAGGGCCCCGCAATGGCGGCCAAACTGTAACAGCTTGGTCAAAAGTCGTAGTCACCCGCGGAAGACAACGCCTGACCACCSTCCAGTTTTGCAGCAATAACCCYTCTCCTTCACCACTACTCCCCCAAACCGCAGCAATGACGGTGGCCGGTTCTAACAACRGCGGTGCCTAATGACATTCCGCAGCAACAACATGTCACAGCCCGCAGCCTACAGCAGCACGTCACTGCTGCCACCATCCACARCAGTACACAGTCCRCAGTCCGTGGCTCCGCAKTTCCACAATTCYACARCAAAAACARCAACAAAACGCARCGCTGCGGTCCATAGTCCAAAATTTTGTAGCACGCAGTCCGAGCCGCTGCAACAGCCCTTCCCAACAGCAGCAATCTAATGTCAAGCTACATTACCATGCAGCCACGGCAACCACCTGTCGCGATGCTCCCAGCCACAGTCCACCCAGACCCCACAKCAAGATGCAGCAATCTYCATTCTGCAATCTGCAGTTACACCGCCCACARCTTGCTCAWCCCACACAGTTTTCACCRCCTKCTGAATCCGCCATCTGTAGGTCCCACACAACCCCGTCTGTGGGTTCCCACGGTCCTTCTCCCCGCACAGATACACAAACCGCGGCTTCACACAGTCCGCCACTTTCTTCCGGACATACAGACCACAGGTCTCCACAAGCACACAGTCCCAGTCTATGGAATCCCACAGTCAGCAGATTTACAGTCCGTAGTCTGTAGTAATATTATAGCAGTACTGTAGCCCGCTGCCCACAGTCTGTAGGCCGCAGTCCGTGCTCACGTGCTGCTGGCAACAGCAAACACCACGGTGCCTACACCACCACCCATAGAAT